GAAGAGTATGAGTAAATCAAAAATAAATGACCACACATTTATTGTTTACGCATGTCTCCCTGACACTTAAGAATCCATAATGAAATTGAATGCAATCTTTCGTTGATGTCCAGTAACTTTTTATAACAAAACGGTTACGAGTTTCTGAAAAGCAATAGATACGCACATTCAATGCGAATACGAAGAAAACCAATCTATACCACTGGTAGATTTCTAAACACCTTCAATTAACATCAGTTATTTTATTATCGGCAGAAAGTGTAATCAGAAGGTAACAATGGCAACAGATCTACTAGCAAATGCCCGCGACTTCGTGTGCGGAAAAAGGAATTTACATCGAGTGAATTTATGTGTCATTTTTTACCCCACGTAGAATGTTAATAAAACTAAAATAGCATTACTCCTAAATTTCAAGTTAAAAAGTGTATTACTTATTATTTCAATAGACATCGAAAATAGTTACGTATGTACAAAATCGTGCTTTTCTGGTTAACAATTTTCTAAAAAATGGTACAGTTTGCTTTGTATTTTATTTGTATTAATTATTGTATTATTCTTAATACTGAAATGCACCATTTTAACTCTTTTCTACTCTATATACCAAGTTTAGTACATTTCGTACACGTTATCGTACGCATTTGCAAGTCGACCTCTTTATCTAAAAGTTGCACACTTTCGTTGATCATAATGCCAGAATTTATGAGTTCAGCTCTATTTCTATGCTCCATGCGGAATCTAGTACTTTACATAAACTCTAAACCAGCTTTGAACAGCCTTGGTTTGGCAGGCCGGCAGAGTCTATTACCACTACAAATGCGTATATTGTGAGCAAGGCTGCTCTACATCGGGTATTTCCACAAATTGTCATATTAAGAATTCACGTTGAGTCCTTCTTTTACTCTCTGCGCGGTATGTGCTGTACTCAGTTCTCAGCTAAAGAGAGACGTGCCATTATTACAATCGGACTAGACCGTATGTATAATACTTTTCGAAACAAATTTCCTGATCATATGTTTTTCTGGCTGCCCCAGGTCTCAGTTAAAAAGCAGGTAAATAAAAAACATGCTTTGAAAACATTTAGTCGACAAACTGTATGTTTCACCGACGATGTCATCAAATGTTAAATGTAGGGGTCAAATGGAGGTTACACTGTTGTCATTCTAAGTATGCAACGGTTGGTGTAGCGACGATACTACTCAGCGAGGAAATGCAAAATCTAATAAAATTTTTAGCAAATTATGCGTTTTGCTTTGCATTGGGTCGTATTATCAACATTCCCAACAAGCATACGCAAGATGTTCGTAGCGTCGCACCAAATTATGCACTTTTGTAAATTGCACATGAGCGTTCTTTGACTTTGTTTTTCCCGAAAATGATAATAATTTAATCAATACCAGGATGCTTTTTGTAGAATATTTTGAATCCGACTCAAAGTACGCATATCATCCATATTCTCAGGAATCCATTTGAAACGGGAGACCGTTACGCCAAAGATAAATCGTTGTTTTCTATTCGTCAAAATATGTATGTTATCGCACAACAACCGCGATACTCATACGACTGTAATGCATGTCGGTTTATCGTATTTTGTTCAGGTTGCACCAAGCTAATAGACTACACTTTGCACAGTTAATTTGTTTCCGCAAAGCCAAAATATGCACTCTATGGCAATGAGATTCGATACAAGATATGGGATGTCGGATGTAAACATATGGAGGGCTCACTGCTATACCGAACCAAGTCATGAAAAATAAAAAATGCCGAAACTAGTGCCAATGTCCCCGCATGTGGCAACTCTGTTTACTCTGTAAAGCACAATGTAAAAAATTGTTTCGTTCCAAAGATAACGTTAAAAAACCTAAGTCCACGACTGTCATTTTCGTTTTTATTCAAAGCAAAAATGAACCAAGTCAGTGTGTTTCACTTTGAATCAGCGTATATATAGATTTTAGCAATGATTCAATGTCGATTTAGTGATGTCCATTCGTCTGTCTGTCCATCTGTGGAAATCACTCTAGCTTCCGAGGCGTTTGTAGTAGGTTGATAAAATTTACTCAGATGACTGTTTGGTCTACAGGGCTTTTGGTATTGGAAATGATCGGTATTTTGATGACTTTAATGACATTATTCACCAATTTTTTTCATATTTCGTATTCGGTATTATGATGTTTTTGCGATATTATTTACCGGATTTTTTCAAGTTTCCTATTTGAATATTGTAATGGACTATGACAAAACTTGGCTGTGCAGGTCCACATTTTCGTATATACCTCCACATTACGATAACTCTCTATATTCGGTATTTTTATGATTTTTAAAAGTATTTTTTAATATCCAAATCCTTTCCAAATGGTAGAGGGTATTCAAAGCTCAGCCCGACCGAACTTACTGCTTTTTTATTTGATATACTTTTTCCTAATACACATTAAATATTAGTATGGGCACAATTACAAGAAAATCGTACATTATTCCATATTCATCTCATGTTTCTGGTTGAGAGAAATATTGAGATATAGCAAGTTGTAAAGAATCATCGACTTGTTTCGCAAGTTATGACAGATAAAGGCATTGAAAATTGTGACCCCTTGTGGGTGATGTACCGGAAGGGGTTCGCAGATATATTCCATCTTCACAACAAATATTGTGTTAGCGAAAATGTTTGTATGTGTGAAATCTAAAGGGAGTTGGATGATTATTTCGTTTTCTTTCAGTTTTGTTTTTCAAAATCATGAACCCTGTGTGGGAAGGTACCAGAAGAAATGGTCCGATCTCTACCATCTTTATAACAGATCTTGTGTTGAAGGAAATTTTGAAATGTACCCAATCTGAATGAAATCGAATAATATCGCGTCTTATGAGCTTCATGGATATTCAAAATGTTGACCTTTTGTGGGGATGATACCAGAGGTAGTGGAGCGATATATTCCATATTCACAGCAGAGCGTGGGTTAATAAAAATATTCTGATCTGTGTAATTTGAACACAATCGGAAAATTTCATCACATTTTATAAGAGTTATAATTATTTAAAATTTTTACCCTTTGTGGGGGAGGTACTTGTTGGAATGGACCACTGGAGCACTGACCGAATAAGGATAACTTTCGAATATGTGATGAACTTAACATGAAAATAAAATTCGATGAAGACGAAAATACAAATTTAATTTGGCAAAAGGAACTTCACTTAAAAGCAGCACAGCTAGCTCGAGACTCACTGAATACAGAAGTGCCATCTGATGAGCACTATTTCTGTACTTTTGACATTCAAAAAGCATTGCCTTTTCCAAAGCTATCAACATCAGTTGCTTATTACAAGCGGAACATCAACTATATTTAGTCATAAAATGAACAATTTATTTATTTTTTTGACTTGGTTCGCTTTAGCTGTAAAACCTTCAAATTTTATTCAGAGTAATAACGAACCAAAGCTGGTTTTTTGTTTTTGAATATTTTTTTAGTAATATATTTAAATTATTTTTCTTTTAACTTTATATCATTAGTTAATTTTGAATATAGACTTTTACATTTTCTTTTGGTAGACTAAAATATTGCTTCCAGAAATTAATTGCAGTACATTTACTTTACCTCTAAATATCTTGGAATTATGTTTTTATGACTTAGTTCGGTATAGCTGTGAGCCCTTCATATTTACCAAGTGTTGTCGAAATCCGTTCAGATTTCGACACAGCTCCGATACATGATTTGCTCTAATTTGATGTAAACGATACAACGACCAACGATATTTGCTTTTTGAATTGTACGAACGTGTTGGACTATAGCACCCACATATTAGTTTTATCCGATTTTAGATCCAACCGCTCCAAAGCGGTAATATGCATTCGATAGCGATCAGTGTTGGTATGATTTACTTCAGGCAAATTCCCAATCGAAACACTCATAAAAAAGATAAATGCTTGCGTTTGTATTTTCTCAGACTACATTCGGAATTCACGAATTGCAGATAACAGCTGAAACACACCTCTTCCAAATACCCAAAGTAATGTGCAAAATTATAAAGTCGTCATCGCTTCAATGTCAAAATTGGTGTTTTTTTTATAAAATAATAATCTGAGGGTTATACGAAATGTACGGCAATTTAGAATAGAAGCTCAATAATGAAGGATTTTTTAACTAATTTTAGTTCCAAAAAAAATATTAGAAAATCGATGTAAAAGGTTCTTCCTTTGAATGTGTCCTTGAGTCTGGTATGGCCTCAACACATTATTCGTATGTAATTTGAATGATTTGATTTTTAATTCGAGAATTTTATTTGTAATTCGGTTAATTCCTTTTAATTTCTATTTTTTTTTTCCTTTTTTACTTTAAATTGTTTCATTTGATATTCGACTTCTTCCATCTCTAATATGAATCATTCAATTTGCAATTCGAATTTGGATCAATTCAAATCGAAAATTTAAGAATGGAATTCGAATTTCAAATTACAATTGAAATGTTTTGGATTACATCTGAAAAGGGGCAGGATAAAGGTGGAATTTTCGGAGTAATATCAAATTTCCAAACGAGGCTGTGAAGATATCTGCTATGAATGATATCTACATATCGGATATGCAATGTAAGAAGTAAGAGATTTGATTGAGAATAAAATGTTGTCCTAAGCATTCGGGACCTTAACGCAAGTTTTCAAGATTATTGGACTGCCTGTTGGGGGCTGTAACTCGGGGAGGCAACCTTTGGCATCAATAAAAAACCAAAGTGAATGGGGTAGTATCTGCTTTAAATAATTTTGAACGTGATGGGGGAATGCCTGGAGCAGTTGTATTTCTAGGTTTCACCAGTAAAACCTAAACACGAACCGTAGCGTGCTGCTTGCCATTTTTCGTAATTGATTTGGTCATTTGCTTGTTAATTTCTCACAAATCTAAGCACAATTATCCTACCCTGCCTATGTGTTTGTGTGAGTATGTGTGTGTGTGACAGATGTCAAACTGCTCGGTAGTGCTGACTCATTTGATGACCACTGCATGACTGGCTCTATTCATTTGGGCCGTAGCGTGCGTGGGGTGCGGGACAGCAGTCCCGGTTGTGTCTTATTTTCCTGAGATTTCACTTATTGGACTGGCTGTTGGGGCCTGTAACTCGGAGGGTACTTTATTAGAGAGTCACTACGACTGGGAATGATGTCTGTGCAGCGTTTGAATGTGGCGAGAGCGAAAGTGTGTCCGAGTGTGCCAATAACTGTGGCAATTTCTGATGCCGAACTCTGACGTGACGAATATACCGAACGGCCGACAGCAAACCGCAGCGACATCAGGTGGATACGAGCCGAACAGTCTGGCATAGTAAGATAAACAGAAAGAAGGCGTTGAAAGAGAAGCTGCCAACCGCTGAGGAATGCTAGTAAAAATAAATAACAGACGCAACGTCAGCCACACGTTGCGAGTAGATTGCCTCTCGTCGTGTCGTGCGAGCAGCATCGGAGCGAAGCGGCAGCACGCATGTCTCCTGAATTGCAGGAGTCATGTATAGGCATTTGTCAGTGGACCAGTGTCTCTGTGTGCCAATGACACAAACACATTCGATGGGAGAGCTTTGCTCGTGCTGTATCACAGCATCCACCACCCACTCCTTGGAGAGACGATGGTGTCACTGTTGTTGTCTCGCTTACACCGTTTGCTGATGTGGATCTGCTCGCTGTTCAGCATCAATGAAATGCAGATTGTCCTTTCGCTTTCCTGCATTCAGCTGGACCAGCGTACTCCGAGTATCAAAAGCGTGAGCGCCGAGCTGAGCTGAGCGATGTGGTGGAATGAATTTTATGATGCGAGTCTATATTGGTTCACCTTTTATTGGGAAACTGTGGCAGTATAACGCGAGCCCTTGGCTGGTAAGGGTTTAAGTGAAAAAGAAACCTAAAAGAAAACTCAATTTGCTCTGCAGGGCCAGGACCTAGCTACTTCAGAGAATTGTGTACCAAAAAAAAAAAAAAAAAAAAAAAAAAACAAGAAAAAAACACACACACACAGCAAGAAAGACAAAAATCAAGTGAAACCAAAATTAATTAAATTGAACTCAAAAGTTTCTTTGTCGCGAAAACGGATATCGAAAAGTTTGCAATTTGTGAAAATCTGATTCATTTTATGCGTTTCTTTTTGTATATTATAGTGAAACGATTTGGAATCCACGAAAAGCAAAAAATAAAAAAAAGAAACCTGGCGAACTCCGTGCTAACGACAGCATGTAACTTGAAAGTGATTTAAATTAAAAATAAATAAAATATTTACATACATACATACATAATTGTTCGCAATGAATATCTGCTGCAATCCAGTGTCCTTTCGTTCACAATTTTTCATTTCTTCATTGATTTATTTCGTTTCGTCTCGTTTCGATCCGATCCGAATTAATGGAAAATTTACATATTGCCGTGTTGTTGTTGGTGGTCGTGTCGTGTGCTTGCTTCCTCCACTGTTATTGGCATGGAAAAGAGCACGACTCCGTTATTTTCGGTATTTCTTCGATTTCGTTTTGAATTCGTTTGTTGCAAATGTGTGTTTCTTCTTTTGCTATTCTGCCTTACTTCACGCACACAGCGATGCGACAATTTGTGTATTGGCCCGTTTTTGTGTTGTTCACATTCGTGCACTTCTCTCATCCTCTGTGGGCTTGTGTGTGTGTGTGAGAGAGAGTTACACACCGATTGCGACACGTACAGTATCCCGACTTCCAGCGTACACCCAACGAAATGAAGTTAAATAGATAGCATAGAAAGAGCAACACACACTCAAACATCCGAAAGAAACAAATTACTGCAGACTGCGAGTTACAGGGAAATCCATTTTGGTTTTATCGCCCCAAAACGCTTAAATGTCGTGGGAACCCACGAGGACTGACAAAACAGGTCTAAATAGAAAGCCCCATTGTCCTTACAAGGAAAAGGTTGCATCTCTGCGTGCGAACGTGTCGTCCTCTTGGTTTCCTCGCAAACAGCAATACTTACTTTGTCCTTTGCATTTCATCGTCTTTGTTCCTGCTTTGTATCCTCATTAACTTATTTATTGGGAGTATGTCCCAGTCGGCTGACGAACTTGTCCCCAACGCATTTTGGGCATGGCTTTGTGTCAAGTGAGAGGCAATGAATCGGCTCTGGTGCAATTAGCGTGTTGGTAATGACAGTGAGTAGGTCAAGAGCGTCCCTTCACTTGTTAAGCATTGCGGTTCTAACTTGGCTGTTTCGCGTTATAAATATTACAGGGATCGGCATTTATTCAAAAAATGCAAAAATTTCCACCTCATAATATTTCAAAATTCTCATATTTTTTAAAGTACAGTCGTTTTGATTAATGAATTTATTCAATTAGCTGCCTCGGCTGGCCATGCAGTAGTCTCCACCATTGGTCTAATTGTAAGCACATTATCGATTGTGTGCAGCTGTATTTCACCAAACGGGGTCACGAATATTGCCATTTAAAGCGACAATTGTCTCTGGCTTGTCGGCGTCACAGTTACCTTTGACGACACGCCACAAATAATAGTCCAACGGTGTCATATAGCAGTTCCGGGAGGGCCAACCGGCATCAGCTATGCGGCTGACACTGCGATCTTCGAAAACGGGGCGCAAAACATCGATGTAGCTTCGAATGTGTGTCCTGTTCAAACCAAATATTGGTAGTATTCTCCTCTTCAATTTTTGTGATCAAAACTTCGTTCAATGTTTCCGAAGAAAAAAAATGACCCTTGACCAAAATCCGCACCAAACAGTAACTCGTTTTGGGTGCAAAATGCAAAAATTTAGCTTGCTTGCATACGGAGCTTCTCTTCTTTCCAAAATCCGTGCGCAATTTTCGCAATTCTACAACAATACCATGATTGTAGAAGCAATGTCGCAATTTACCAGCCATTTACCATTTCATGCGAAAGGATCAAACTAAGTATTTTTTAAATCAGGCACGAGCTAAGTATTATCATTCACTAGTATCAACACTAGTTTAAAAAGAAAACGTTATATGGCGGAACTTGAATTATTTTTTTTTGTCGAACTTTCAACGGTGAATAACAAGTGAGGGAAAAAGTTGTGATTTGTTTAGAAATTAGGGTTGGTGCATTTCGACGAGCAATAAAGAAACTCGATGGAATCAGCAGAAGGTTTGAGATATTGCCTTCAATAAAATTCTCGGAACCGCTATTACAAGGAGCTCATAAAAAATGCAAATTATAAGTCGATATTTTCTTATGCTAAGCGCCATTTCCACCAACGAAGTTTAACAAGCGATTTTCATGTTTCCCAAATGAATACTCAACTTTGTTTATGTTACAACAGCGATGAATACGTTGTTGTTGTTGTTATGTGCCACTTCAACTTATCTGCTCGAGGATATTGTTTCTGGTCACATCATTTGTGTGCTAAAAATCCCCAAGGGATATTCTGGTTTCATCATGCGTAAACATAAATATATACACACACAAGTAATCCTCAGGGAAGCAGTCTTCTTACAGCGTTGCTTGTTTCTTGTCCAGACTTGGATTTGTATGAGGTTTGCATTACCTCGCTGCGGTAATGGACAATTCGTTAATAAAATTGCGGGATTACTCAGTGTAAGCGCCTCTGAGAGGAGATACAAGACAACGACAATGTCAATAGTGAGCAAATGTGATCACCGAGAGCACAAAACATGTTTCCTCTATATAATTCATTTAAGTTTATTATACCCTACACCACAAGCTAAAAGTTACATCCGCACAAAATTACAATTACATGGTCAGGGTACTCCTGTCATTTTCATTGATTCCGATTACATTGAGGTACATTGTCAGATACGACAGATGTTCATCAAAGTTCAATTATCGCTAATTGGCTACGTGGCTCTCGTTTAAAACTAAAGATAATCTTTTCTATGAACATTTAAAAAACATTTCAGAAATAAAATCGACCCAAATCGTATATGAGCATCAATGTCCATTACACCACGTGCATTTTACAATTTGTTAGCAAGGAAGCCCAATTTTTTAGCAAATGTAGGATTCTCAACATTTGGAATGGTTTTTTAAATAGTCCAATTATGTATCCCAATATCTGGGCGGATTCATTGATTCCGATCAAAATTGTTTCAGATATTTCCTTACTAGTTTTTCTTTGTTTTATGTTTGATTCATAACGAATCGAATCCAATGTCCTTGAATTTGTTTTCCATCAGATCGATTCAGATATCGCGACTTGCGCAAATGTATATGTATTCCAAAGTTCTATTCCTTTCATATTTGAATTTGGTTAAAAATGTTTTAAAACCAACTGAAACTTATTATTAAACTACTTAATTACTACCATAATAAACCTGAATATATGGTCAAGATTTCTTTCTTCCTTTATGGCACTTAATTCGTTAACTTCCAAGTAACAAATTCGCTTAATAAGTATCTGTATGACTAGTGGAAAACATAATATTGTGGGCTACTTGACAGAAGGTGTCATGAGAAAAAAAAAATAAAATTTGTCATTTCACTGTTTCAAAGCTGGTCAGCACCAAAAAGATGCAGGGATGCCTCATTTTTCCGAGTATGAAAATAGACATAGAAATCAATTAACGAGGGTGAGAGGGGCCGCATATGTTTTGTCTTGACAAAAAATGTTTAAAAGCGAAGCGTTCGGGCGATACACACGTGAAACGCAATTTTCAATTTTCAGACGTTCATACGTATATGCATTTCACATATGTACATACAGACATCGTAGATTGACTCGTTGAATTGATACTGAAAGGATTTAACACTTGACATCACTATGCCTAACATTTGTTCGTTTGCGACGAGCGTTTTTGTTATCACCCAAATCTTTTTCCACTACACCCCTCCCCCTCCCCTATATAAAAATCTTCCAGATGATGTAGCGTATCATGTGAGAGAATGAAAATTGCAATCTATGAATTGTCCATGTGTTTGTGTGTATCCCCTGTTGGGCGTGTGTGTATGTGTGTGTTGGGTCTTTGATTTGTAAATGGTGTGTATTTAAGTCATAAATGCCGTTTGTTGCTCTTGTTAGTTCATCGATATTATTAGATTGAGAACATACACGCCAGTTCCATCCCCCTTCGCAGCACAAAGGACGAGAGCAAACCAACACCTCTGAATGTGTACGTCGGTCTAAAAAAATCTTTTCAATTGGATATTCAGTTTAGTTCTTCTATAGCTGTTCTCCTCCATTTCAGAATTAAATTTAATGGCATGCGATGAGTTTCGCATATGGGTTAATGGTCGGAGGGTTTTCAGGATGATTGTCAGGCTGGCGGTTGGTATCGATGATACTCTTCCCAGATGGAAACGCAGCATTGTGGCTGAGCGCACATTCTCTGTGGCTTTTTGGCGAAAATGAAGCATTTCCCAATTTAATGTGATATTTTCCATTTCCATTTTCATGCAATGTGTATGTAAATTTTCCAATCGCAAGCTATTACATCTTTATTCTCTCGAACCTTCATTACTTTCGCTATCGCAGAAAACGCGGATTTGAAACGGATATTGAAACATGAAAATGAAGAAATCTTCTCTAAAATCTACGAATTGTTAACCAAATTCCAAATACAACACAACAGCACTGCAATCGAACAATCTCCGCAATCGTAGCATACAGATAAGAGTTGGGCTGTTTAGACTTCCCCCAAGTAACAGCCGGGGGGGGACGTGTAAATATTTCGCTGTAAGTATTGCAATGAACAGGTTTGTAAGGAATCGAAATCCTTAAAGTTTCTTTTTTTCTTTTCTTTTCATTTAAAAAATCTTTAGTTGTTCATGGAAGTGATTTTTTGTTGTTGTTAAATGTGTATCCAGCAGGGTTGAGCGGCCATGTAATGCTTGCTAGCCCCTCTCATTGTACTCTCATTCCGCATTGCCCTGTTACTACATCGACAAACATGCTCTCTGAATGAAAGGTTCATCTATTCAGCCATTCGCCCACACAGACGAAAACTTTGGCCAATTTCGAGAGAGAGAGAGCGAATTGCACAAAAATGTTCTCTCTGCGTGACAGCCTCCTCTCAGAGCTGAATGACACGACACTATGGCTGCAGAGGAAACCAGTGGCCTCATGCTGCTGGTATCTGACGATGATGTTGCTGTTTTTATTGACATTTGTTCTATTAAATTGTTCCACCTTGATTATAGTATTTTCTTGGGCTTTCCACAGCCACATACACACACACACACACCTGCTGGCACTGCCGCCAGGTATTTTCATTTTACTTGCAAATATGGCATCCCAGACTATGGACAATTCATGGCAGAAAGATTGGTTATCCAAAGGACAAATCAAATCTAAACTTCCAGCCATCTGCAGTTGTATTTATTTGAATATTCCGCTGTGGAAGAACTGAAATATTTATCTCGCCCAACATTTGCACGTAGTACAGAGTATTTTCTTCAGAGTTTTCAATTAAAGTGTTCTTCGATGGTTCTTATAATTGCTCCGTCATTCCGAATTGGGTGCGTGAAATGGCGTAGCGGCAAGTGGCACCGCAACTACCGCAATTTTCCTTTGGGCCACCAAAAATCCAATGGGATGAAAATGTTTGAGTGCCTCGACAGCGTTTTGGGCTGCATGGGGTTGTGTTGTGGGGGTTATTAAAAATAATTTTAATTTTGGGGTTTGTTCTTCGGGCACCCAGCATCGTAAACCTTTAAAATTTACTGTTACTGTTATGGCTGTTTTGGTTAATTCAGCAAAATAATATTGAAAATGTTTATGGTTATTGCCAGTCATAAATTAATTGGGTATTTTGAAGAGCCATGTTGCGAGGCTTTACTAGTAACCCACTTTGGCCATGAATAGTGTTTCTATAAAAAGCCATGCCTCCTCCTCATCCGTTGAACTTTGTTTGTGGTTCGTACATGTTTTCCTCCTTGGGTTCTTAATATGTATTAGGGTGGGAAAGACCTGAAATGATTGGCAGGCATTTCGCAATTTTAGAAATACATCTCAAAGTTGACTGGCTGACTGAAGAGATGTGTAAAATCTTTTTCTCATATTTTTAATAATTGTCAAAGATGATACCCACCCTCCCTTAAACTTACAAAGCTATCCATGAAGCAATGAAAACGAAGTCATATGACACCTATTTTTTGTATCAAATTTTCAACTCATTTAAGATTCGGAGCATTCTCGCAATTTTAGAAGGGAGGATACTTAAGTCAAATGCTCAATTGTGAAGTAGACTATGGAAGCTGTCATACAGTTCTGAGCGAAATGTTAATAAGAATTCATTTAAGGCCCTGCTACCGCATGACGACGCAAACATTAATTAGAACGAAATACAATGTTCCAAATGCGTTTATCGAATTTTTGATTTAATTTGAACAACTAATTTGGAATGGTGTTTAGGGACAATAGAGACCAAACCTGGTCGGATCTTATCGCAGTTACCGATCACAATTTAAGATGGACTGTGGGTAATTTAGATGGAATGTTGATCCAACTTCAAATAATAAGCCAATAATTATGGTAACATTTATTCTAAGAAATTTAGAAAAGTAAAGCACTGCGAATGGGAATAGTGAACACCCATCCTAGTCGGGGAAGTTATGGACATCAAATATCAGAGCAAAATGGCTCAAACTCTTGCCTGACCAGTAATAAGCCATTCCTGATTTTTTCGCTGATGATGAGTCAAAATATAAGATTGTTGAACACTCGCTTTTTCTGTCGAGAGGAATGATTTTGAACATTAAATCAGGCGATTCGGACTATATTTTCCGACGCGCTTTGCTATTTTTGGGTCTCAATTGAAACGAAGAAAATCCTATTTTTAAACTTTTCGTAAATGGCAAGTGCCACTTTCACTTAAAAAAATATACTAATAAAGAAATAAATTGAGGTGAGGTGGCCATTAGGATATACCTACGTCGTTAATACAAAAAAAAAAAAAAAAAACGAAGACAATGAATATCATACATTGAGTTTTTTCTGCCTTTGTTTCGCTATTAGCATTTTGTGATATTTAATTAAAACTTTTCCACTTTCTTGTGATAAAATGTGACAGATCTGCACCATTATATGTGTCTATATCCCATCTCGACTTGCCAGGTAGCAAAAATCATTGTCGTACACTAAAAATTGTCCGCCACTGTGTGTCGTTTGATATATCCAATAACTTTAGATTTGCTTTGCGCAGAGGTACACGGTATCTAATACCGCTAGTCCCATTTGCACCCTTAGTGATAATATTCGGTAGGTGGAGACAGATTAACCTTTGATTCTATTCGGCTGTTTGACTTTGTGGAGCATTCTGTTCCAGTTGTTCGATTGCTGCAACAACTGACACTGGCATCTGTAAATAATCCATTTGCACCCTTGTACTGTCCACCACATTGCCCTTTCCTTCATTTGGTTGCAACTCTGGCCTGGTACACATTGACGCGGTAGACGATTTTTTGTTTCTTTCGCCTAGAAAAGGACTAATTGATTTGTTTTGCTTTCACATTTTAATTGCAGAATTAAAAAAAAAAACAAAAATAATAAAATACAATAAAGTACTAAATTAAACCACATTAAAGTTGAAACGAATTAAACGCATGCTAAAAATTCTTAACCAAAAACAATAATTTAATCAAGACACTTTAAATTTCCATGAAAAAAGAAAAATACTCCAAAATAATAAATTGAAGTCCCGACATGAACAAGAATTAAAAATAAAAAAAAAAAACAAAGCAAAGCAAACAAATGTGATGTTAAACTAATAAAAACAACAGCAACAACCAAATAAAATACCTTGAAATTTAATGAAGATCATTTAATTAAAAATTATAAACTTCCCACCCAGAGAAGAAAAACAAAACAGAAAACAAACCCAAATAAAAACCCCAAAAAAAGGCACACCACGACAAACCGTAGACATTTAATTAAGTAAATTTAGTAGAGTTTGCGGCACTCGGCGGCAAACAAAACATCCGACAGCTAACAGCTTACAGCTGAACAGTAATTAATTAATTAGCTACCCAATAAAACGGAGAACGGAAAGTGGAAGCACAACTCCCCCACAGAACGCTGGTGTAGCGCGAACCCACAGACCAACATCCGAGTGCAGACCAGACCAGCCCAGCCCAGCCCAACCAAGCCCCGGCCTCAGTTACAAAGTCCTGGCAAGAAGTTCACTAAACTCATGGCAACACATACAAGCATACACACACACATCCACAAACACACAGACCACAGATGGCATTGAGCGTAAAGTAGCTAGTAGAGGATGCATTTGTACATGTGTAGTTGTAATTTAGGATTAAAGACAAACAACAAAAACACTTGTTAAATTAATATTAATAATAAAAAAAAACAAAAACAAGAAACATACTAAAGTCGCAAGAGGAGCTGTAGACGAAGTTGTTGGAAGCTAGTTTCATTTTGTTAACTGTTACAGAGACTAGCTCGCACCCACAAACATACACACACACTCATACACACGCATGTACGCACGCACACAACCCTCCTTCTCAACCAAGCAATCAACCAAAGCACCGGCTGTCCGAATCTGTCGCACCGAAAGCGAATAGAAAACAGGACGGAACGACAGAACCAGAACAATAGCTGTGATTTACCTCCAATGGTGTTGGGGCCTCGTCGTCTCCCGCTTCCCCAGCAATAGCGACACGATAGACAGGTGTATGAATTATGCCCCAGCAGGAGCGGCGACAGAACCTCTTGATTCGTGTGGTGCCGACAAATGCGGATTTGCGAGCAGAGCAGGCAACACGCTTTCTACGAGACTGGTAGTGAACGCGCCGAAAATTGGCGAACGTGATTGGCCAGCGGTACAGAGAGACCCGTGGTCGTTAGTGACGCTGCTGTCGAAGACACCGGTGAGGAGGAATTTGTTGGGGCCAGGGGCGTGACCAGAACTAGTTAAAGATTTATTCGCGTCAGTCTTCTCCACCGCCACCGCACAGATTGCAATGCTCTGGTAGCCAAGATAGTTTTGCCGTGGATCACTACTGCGATTCACATCATACGAATAGCCTTCGGGGAGCGGCGGCTTCGGCGGCAGGAATTGGCGGCGGCGGTGGCAGTGGCTGTGTACAATGGTCGTCCACACAAGGTGCTGGGGGACAAAGTTGTGTAGGTGGCAGCGCAGGCGGCGGAGGTGGAGTGGGTCTGGGCAATTGCTCGGCAATTGGATCCTCGGCGGGCACCATGTGTCCACACGGCAATGCAATGCATCCCTCATTAACACAATCGATGATGTCGTCCGGTGGCGGCAGTGGCAGTCACGCCCACACTCATAGCCACGCCCACAACAACGGCAGTCTGCTGGGTTCGCATATCTCCCTCAGCGGCATAGCCATGGGCGGCCGCTCCATGGACGATGTTATGCCACCGCCGCCCTCAGTATTGGGTGGCGGCCACTGTCGCAGCATGACCGGTCTTAATAACCTTAGCCTAGGGCTTCCAGCGGCACCAGTGCCTCCGCCTCCTACATTTAACCCGTGTAGTTCAAATAGCATAAGTAGCATGTCAATACAGGGACCCTCATCGTCTCGTTGGGGTCCACGCACTTCATGTCCAGTCCACAGTCCATTTCGTGTGCGGGTGCCCAACGGCTCCATTTGTTCCGGCCATCAGGTAAGATGATTCTATGTCGCCCACCCCCTGCCATATCCCCTACTCCCAATCTAACACACCACCTACAAATCCACAGCCGATAACCCTTCCCTCCCCTGTATCTTAGTACTAGTTGTTGTTATTGTTTCAAATGCCAAACCAGATAAAACCCTAAGTTCCCAATTTTCCAAAGTAACGAACAAAGGCCCACACAAAGCCACTAACTGAATGCTAAATGCGTATCCACCAAGTACTGTACATGATATTGATTGTAATTTGCTATTTTGTATTTTTTGGTTTGAGTAAATTAAAAAAAAAAAAGAAAAAACAACGTTGGGTCTGTTTTTCCCAGTAGAGATTAGAAATGCTCCGTGTCGAACGTAGCCAAAACCGAAAAGAATCTTTGCCTCTCTTTTGTTGAATTGTGATTACATTCAATAAAATCATATTTCGAAATGTATGTCACGCCATAAACATCCGTTGTCGTTGTCGTTGGTGTTCACGTTCACGTTCACCCTCGCACTCGCACTCACACTCACAGTCACACTCAGAGCATACACTCACAGAATTAATCCATTTCCCGAGGAAGGCCACTTCCGGCCGTACGAGCTTTCACGCCAACATCAAATGGGGAATCATTTTTGTGCATACACCAACACACAACCACATACACACTCTTTAAAAGACAACAACTTAACCTAATCTCGATTTGAATTTCTCTCTTTACTCTCCGCATTTCTTTGCAGGTAAGCACTGACTAAGACACCGCGCAGCAAACTCCGACATCCCTCTGGAATGTATCCGACCATAACACACGGCACTCTGTGCCAGCGCCATGTAAGATTATTTTCGTTTCAAATACAATTTTAATTCAAACAGACACACGAACACCAACACAGACACACCTTGAGACGCTACTGCAGCACAGCTACCTTTGTCGCTCGATACGAGTGCGTCGCCACCATTTGAAGCACGTCCGCCTCGACGGACGTGATTGTCTTTGAGTCCTGACACTCACTCGAAGCCAGAACAATTCATTGTCTATCATTATGTGAATAATTGAGAGGGTGAGGGAGAGAGAGAGAGAGAGCGCGATATAGAAATACCTACACACAGTAGTGACTCGTAATGGCGCTACTCTATTGATGTTGACTTGGGCAGCGATTGTAGGCCAACACCGTTATGATATGGTTGTGGTGGTCGAAGGTAATACCTAAATTTTGACATAAACTTAGTGCCTAGACGCCTTAGATAGTGAAAAACGAAACAAAACTTTAAATTTACGCATGAACCGGATATCTCCCATGGTCATAGTTGCACTTATCCTCGGTCGAATATTTGATTTTGGATAGATTATACGGTAAGAAAAGATTAGAATCTGAAATGTTGAATCATTGTCATTGCCAGAACATTGCGCCCAAATCTTCTGTGGACTGTGTGTATTACCAGCCAGGGGCATGAAATTCTATAGTAAATTAGTATTAGCGTTATTAGTAATGGGCGTTATTCTCTCCACACGAACATGCACTCACACCTAATCAGTAACATGAAACGAGTAGAAAAACACTAAGCTTAGCAAGGCCGAACTGTTGATACCTTCCACCATGATATATACAAAGTTAATTTCAATGTAAGACATCCAATAGAAACTTCATCATTCAATTCCGTTGAAAAGTTTGGGGAAAGTCATCAGAATACCGAATACTAGGGAAGTCATTAGAATACTGGCACTGTGGACTTGTATTACTTTTACTGCATTTGCAAGGTGGTTAGGAGCCAGTAACAACCTTCAAATGCCGAAAGTCATGAAAATGTTTCGTTATATAGGGGCCATACTTCTTAATCTTGATTTCAGTTCAGACCCTAAATGCAAGTGTATAAAATGACACCACTGTATCTCAAGATAGCGTGATTACAACAGATGGACGGACATGACTGTATCGTATTAGAATTTTACGCTGATCAAGAATATATATTCTTTTTTGGGTCTAAAATGAGAACTTCGACGAGTTACAAACGGAATGAAAAATTTAATGACAAATTGGGCAAAAAGCAAACAAAATTGAATTTATTTTAACACTAATTGTCTTGTTATCTAAAAATGATTTGACATTTTTTTCAAGTCATTCGAAACAGGTATATTTGTGAACATAAGCTTTAAGCACAGATATGTAACAATATATATGGGATCACCAAACACACACATACACTTATGTTTATTGAAAATGAAATATCATTAAGTTTTTGATCTCGTGGAAAATAACTGTTTATAGACTGATGCCTCTTCTTTTTCTTTTTAACAACCGAGCTCTTACGGATCCCCATAAAGTATGGTTATGGGTTTAGGGAAAGACCACAGACTCGGCAAAATCTATTGAAATGTATGTCCAAACCCCTCGACATACCTCAAATCGAACGGATATTTATATGTACTCATATAAAACTGGCTGTTGGGTTTTCAATCCATTATTTTTTTCTCACAGAATGATGGTTGCCACACAGAAGCAGCTAAAGCTTACAAAATGCTTTAAATCGCGGTAAACCGTAAAATATGGACCAATATATGAAGTTTAATTAGTTACATTGTTTTATATCCACCACAAAGTCCTGTACAAACTATCTTCCCATTGAATTAAATTCATAGGGCCTTTTGGAAAATGCTGGGTTTTCGGTATTCCATTGAAGCTATAATGAGATCATAGCCACCAAGAAACCCACCAGCCAGCTACCTAGCTTAACTATTTTTAGACTTTGAGATACATTGCTAATTAGCCCAGGAAACAATCGATGCAATGCGACACAACGCCAATCGGAAATACCAATTTTTATATTTTCTGATGGCATAACTCAAATCAGCCACGAAATCGCTGGGGAATCTTTTATTTTTCCTCAACGCAAATTAGTGTACGAAAAATTCCTCAAAGCAGAATCACTTATTTAGTTCTAATGTGCCACACTATATTTTCCCTTTAGCTTCGATGTTAGTTTTGGATATATAATTTAATAGGGCCAAAATGTACCTCATCGGAACTATGGATTGGATCTTATGTTTTTTTTTTTTTTTTTTATTGAACGAAATATGTTCCAGGGCATTTGGATCGATTTCCGTGTACACAATGACGGTTTACTTTACATCTGATTTTAATGAGTGACAACATTCCTTCAGAATAAAGATTTTGCATACGACTACGCGCGGTGTTTTCATTAGTCTCTGTAAAAGTACCTCAGTTTCCATGAAAAGTTGACTTACGACTTTACCTTACGCCTGTTTGTCAACCGCAATGCATGTCTCAAATGTGATTTTATTATATCGATGTGACTTCCTTGGATTAATTTACAAATTTTAAGTGAATTGTTTGTGCGGCTTTTGTTCTCAGGCTGAGTCCCGTCAAACTATAAGAAGTGGTGGATGATTGAATTTAATTATAAATCTTGTTGCCGACAAACTTTACTTTTTTTTTTTGTTGTGGCACTTGCAAATCAAATAACAGCTTCAAACGTATCCACCCAAAAAACATCACGGGGCTTGTAAGTATTCATGTCAAAATTACCACATCAGGCACAGGATACAAGAATGGCTCGATAATAGAGGTTTGTATGTGCATGTGGGATTTGGACAATGTTGGTCTAGTAAACGACAAATCTCCTCTGCAGAACGAATAGTTGTGGTGTTTTGAAAGTTTGTAAAGACTTAGGGAATTGTGATAAAAATTACTACTAGTATTTGTTTACTAAAGGCCAAAGGTTCCAAAATCATTTGGGGCTTTTGTTATTGGGATAGGTGTCCGGAGTTAGGGAGAAAACTGGGTCTACGAAATCGCTAGACACCTTATTGAAAAAAGGTGAAATTCCAATCATCGAAGGCCTAAGCTTCCTTCCGTCAAATTGAGTGAAAAGCGGAACATATTTTAACGATTCCTCTAAAAATGTTGGACCTTGACTAGTTTATCATAGAGTTCAAAATGCGAATTGATTTCCGAAGTATTACCTTCGTTGCCTACAAAAGGAATCTGATGGGCGTTTCTCATCTGTAAATAAATATTGAATCCATGGTGAATTATCGTCATATTTTATGAACTGGTGAAGTTTTAAATAATGTTGGAACGTCTCATTTGAATGTAAAGTTTTCGCTAATGAGAGATGTTCTCCGATTCCTACTCTAGCATTGCGGAGGCACTCCTCCGCCAGTACGTTTGACAGCTTTGTTAACGCAACGCTATCATGTACAACCGACGTCAGCAATCCAGATTATTACTCATAATCCTTTGAAACCCTTTCTCCCGAGCATCCCATGAGCGGGCTCCCTGCTACTTGAAGAATGTCAAAGTTTGTGTATTTGAGGGATTAAAGTGAGTGACATTTCTTTTGTTTGCCCTGTGTTACTGCTGCGAGTCGAAGGGATGTAAGTGTGTGGGTATGCCCGCGATAATCGCAATGTAAGTGTTGTGTAAATGTTGAAAGATGAGGGAGAACCGCCGCAAATTGTGGGTGGGCGCGTGTGTTTGTGCGTGTGTGTGGATGCCAAGTGTAATACTTTGATATCGGAGTGCCATCAGCCAACTACTGGGACATAGTCGTACAGAAAATGTTGTGTTGTTCGATTCCAATGTTAACTGTAAGACTGTGTCTTGGTTTCTTGGTAGCAAATCAGCCGCAGGCAAGAGTCTTTGCTGTTCGAGTTACAAGCCAAGAAGAACGCATTACTCCCAAAAACGTCGTCGCAGCCCTCTTGTAGATGAGTGTCATCAGGGCTACAGTGTATACCTATCACTCTGTCACCCCCACAAGGGGTGGCAACATCATTCTTTTCAACGCTCAAGTTAATGTGCCAAAGTGAGTGACGAGTGGGTGGCAAAAATCTTATCGCGGCATTATCGGTTAATATCATCATCCACAAAAAATGTAGAAAGCCTCGAAATCTGTGAAATTTGTATTTCCTGGATGTCCAATTTGTGCAAGAAAGAGAACAAAGGCAGCCCGTTGCCAGTCGCTGTTGGCAAAACATTGATGCATAATTGTCA